CGATGAATATAGATGAGAAAGGACATAAAAGTTCACAAAGAAAGGAAAGCATTTTTCACATTTAGCATTTAATCAGGCTTGTGGAGTCCTAAGGTTTTGTTAGGAAGGTTATGGTTTGTTTCATGAGGTGGCAATTTGTGTAAGCCCAGGCCCGATCACAGAGGCCAGAGGGTATCCCCATCTCCTGGCAGCCCGGGCTGATCAACTGCCAGACCAGCTAGCAGAAATAAAGCAGGTAAAAGTACATAAATAGGCTAGAGAGAAATGCCTTGTTCCTGCCTTAAAATCCAGCTCAGGCTTTGCCATGTGTGCAGGAGAGGGCAACCTTGGTCAAAAGGCGAGAGGCTGCTGAGGGAGAAGATTTTGGGAAGCCTGAAGGAAGAACATGAATCCATATCTGCGTCTCTACCTTTAAAGATGAATTTAAGCCTAAAAAAACCTATGGCTGAACAGTCATCCCCTGCCTTTTCTGAAGCTATTTTAAGACTAAAAACACCTGAAAGAAGTTGTTCTGCAGATTTTGAAGGGAACAGTTCAAATAACAGTTCAGTGATGCTTCAACTTCACTGTTGGATATCCCCTAGGCTGAAACTATGATGACTTTGAAATAAATTTATTTTGATTTTCCTCCGTGTTCTACACATTGAACATGTAAATCCTTTTGTTAAAAGCAAGCCATCACAGAGCAGAGACTTTTCTGGTTTCAGGTCTCTCTCAAGCACTTCAATTACCTTTCTACAACATCAGAAAAATCAGTATTCCATTGCTAGGAAAAAACTACACATCGTACGTTCGTGCCAGAGAATCAGTATTTATTTCAAATACAGAACTGATACTGTGCTCTATCAAAATAGCACCTCTTCTAACCAGGAAAGCATTGATAGGAGGAGGAAAAGAAAAGTTAATTTGTTATCACCAATACACTTGTAATACATGCTTTCCTCCTGCCCCTTTTCCAAACCAACATATTTTCAAGAGAATAAACCAAACTAACGGGAACATGAAGTCTATACACAGTTTATAAAATGTAAAAGGACCAATTTTAAGTCACCGTTTGCAATATAGAATCTCAACCCAGCTGCGATGCGCATCTGCAGCAGTGCACTGAAGTTTTCCTCTGGGAACATTAGCTTTGGCAATGACATCTGAAAAAAAACAAAAAAACCCAAAAAACCCAACCACTGAGATAACTGTGTAATTGGAGTATTTTAATTTGTATTCCTTTAAAAGCAGACATCAAGCCATTTCTGAATTATTAGTGAGGATCTTCTCCATAAAAAGCTGTTTCCTTACCCTAGCAAATTTAGTACTACTGAAACTCAGCAGAGTTCAAAAATCTCCCAGTGCTTGTAATGGCTGCATCACTGTAACACCGGCTCCAAACTGCACCAGTTGTTATCCAGCTCCATACTCAAAAAGGAGACATTACTTGTCAGTAATTGCTACTTATTTATTCAGTATCTGTACCTCAGTTATTTAGCAAATCAATTTTAGTTTAGAAATACTGCCAAATGCCTTTCATTCTTTACTCACAGCATACTGTAGTTGCTATAGTGTAGTCATAGTGTAGTATGGGAAGTTACTATGACATTGATGACATGCAACACCGTACATAGAGGCATGCCATTCTGGAGCATACAGATTGGAAGTAAGCAATTAAAAATAGTTTGAGCTATTCTGTTGCACCCCGATGGTATTAGAAGCAGGATTCCCAACCTCCAGTAAGAAAAGCCATTTCCTGTAATTTAAGTTATATTTTATTGCTTACATATTTTTCATAGATGGATAAAACAAGCTGGGCAGTATTTACTAGATTGTATAAGTACAAGACAACTACATCTAATGGCTGGAAACATTTCAGACTAAGACCAAGCTCTCTAATACAATGCATATTGACTTCAGAGAAGCTGAGAAGACTCAGGACTTAAAGATGTGTAACATTTTTATTCATAATAGCTGAGAGCATATAGAGAAGCATTCACAATTTGGGTGCAGTTAAACAAAGCATGAAGCCTATTGCCTTTAGAATAACATAGAGGGTAAATATACAATGAGTTATTTGCTTTAAAGGTTGCAGGATGAATGACTGTCACTTAAAGGCATTGATTTTTTTTTCCCAGAAGACCAATAACTTCACGGCAATGAAGTCGTCTTTCAGCAGATATATAAAATGTAATTAACAATTTATTATGCAATGAAGAAGCTAAGACATCACTGCTGGTGCAGGCCCTGGCTGTGCTCCAGGCTTCACAGAAGGGCTGTGCTGGGTCTGGCTGCACATGGTCAGACCTCAGGCTGTGACCCTGCGAGGGTCCCCACTGACAGTGGGGTTTTAGACCTGAGCACCTCTCCCTTTATATTAGTCAAATATGTAAAAGACGTAACTTTGGTTATGTATTTCACCTTATGTTTCTATGCCAATAACAAAAAAAATAAAAGCATAAGCGAAAAATAAAACAGCAAGAAAACACAGTATTTTCTGAAATGCTCATTCCCTTCCGCCTGATTATTAAGAACACCTTCACCTCTGGTTTTCCTCACACACAATTCTTAGGAACACATGAAGCCCCGATGGTCCAATCAATATTCATTATTTTGACCATGCTAAACACGCCCTCATCTTCAAAGCCTTTTGCACCTCTATTCCTTCATTTTCAAGGAAGGAATTTGCATTTTTGGCTGGCAGAAACCCTCTCTTCTGGAAAGATGAGCCCTCTTATTTGCCTACCGCAGCTGTGGACTTGTGATTTCTTTACCTACTTTCCCTAAAGGTGCACTACCCCATGCCCATCCCTAAGTTCATCTCTGGAGAGCTCTACTTCCAGGTGACTTTGAGATGCACTTCCATTACACCACTCCAAATAGCTCACAAGAGGATTTTTCTTTCCAAGCACCCTGTGCCACTAACTGCAAGTGTTAACCAAGCCCAGTCGTTCAGCTTAACTCAAACAAAACTGTTCGTTCCCAAATGAGAGCACAGAGCATCTCGTTGATACTATGATAAATTATTATAGCAAGTAGGAGCTCACCAAGTGTTACCCAAGTGAAACAAGAGGTGGAAACACATTTGAAAAGTAATACAAACAGGTTGAGGAAAGAACTGAAAACATGAGAAAATTGCAGAACGTGCATATTTTCAGCTTGCAAGTTATCATTTTATAAGACTTATTTGAAGAGTGGGGTTTGTTTGGTTTTTTAAAATAATTTATTTAAAGAGTACCTGAAAGCTATCACTAGTATGCAGCCTGCGTGCTCCCCTTTCGTGTAATCTGAGATCTGTGTGGGAATGTGACCTTGTGAAGACTTGGTATGAATTTGTCACCACAACTTCACAAATGTTTGCTTGACTCCACAGTATCTGAGTATTTAAATCTCTGAAGGATTTTTTTTTCTTCCCCCATAAACTACAAACAGGATAGCCAAAGCAGATTTAGAGGCCTCATCCAGCAGTGCTGCCTCCAAAAATGTCTTGACCATGCATTGCTGTGTCAAAAGAGAAAAGGCTTTTGATTTCCTTTCACTGCTGGTATAAGGCCTTCTGATCATCAGACAAAGCCTGAACCTGCACATCCCTAGCCAATGGCACTCTCCCCTTGGGTACACAGTATTTATTAGGCACTGCACCTTCAATGCAGCCGAGCTTCCAGTGTCTAACCGGATTGAACTCCTTGGCTTCCCCGCTGCTTCTGGATGCAGTGGTCTTCTCCTCTTTACATACATACCATTAAGTCACATAACAGAGCTAATTTCAGTTTTTTAAGTGACTGACTCCTACTTCAAAAGTCACTTTTGGGAGGTTGAACATGTAAACCGGCACCGTAACTGAGAGATGCACTCCCATACAGCAACACGTAGCGTAAGGTTCTTGCCTCTGACAATCCAAACACTCTGGGAAATATCTGAGTTAAAGAAAATAATGTTTAATGCCACGTTATATGCAGAATACAAAGTTTCACCCTTTGGGTCAGGCTACAAGAAACATTGCACTAATGCAGATTGTCATGTTATTCTTGAAGATCTGCTGACAAAACCAACGAATATGCCAACAGTCTTTCGTAAACACCAGTGTCTTTCAGGCACCGTGGGCACCCGGCAGTACCAGCCAGTACTCCTCAGGATTGCATTTCGCTGCTCACCCTGAACAAGGGGAAGGATTTTTCCACTTACCTGTGAAGTCCCTTGATGGACCAACTCCATCGGGACTGGAATCCTCTCGAGCTCTCTCCGCTTCTTACACTGTCATGCGTTGTCAGCCTGTGGGACTGAGAGCTGTGGAGAGCTTTTTGCATTAGCAAAGATTACTGGGCAGAGATCACAAGGCACATTTTTGGCCAATTTTGTCTCAAACGTGGGCATCATTCACTGGCAGAGATAAAGGTCTCAGCCTAAGAGCCACATAAGACCGATTTGCATCTGCAGCAGCCACAAGGCTTCACGGCCGTGGCAGACTCCCCCTGACCCACGCTCAGAAGCCATTTACGAGCACATCTGCCCTCCCCCTGGCCTCAGGGCTGCATGTTGGCTCCCAGGGCTGGTTCTGCAGCATCACAGGACTTACCGAGCTCCGTAACATCAAGCTGGTTTCACAATAAAGTACTGGCAAAAAGATGTCAAGTTGCAGATAATTTACCTTAACAGAGATGTAATTTTTTTTTTTATTAAATGTACTAGGCCTACAGAAATGGGCAAGCAGCCCTAAGACTGCCCAGAAAGCCATCTCTGCTGACTGTCTCAATTGGTGGATTCCAGCAGCATCCAGTCTGGGTTCAAAACCTGTTTGTGAGTCTTCAGGCCTCTCGCAGCCCCGCTTGTTTCTAGCTGCTTCTCTCCCTGCAGGTATCAGCCCACACTGAGCATTTCCAGAGCTCCCTTACACTTTCTCTTTTTACACCCACTTCCTCGCTACTGTTTGCGTTTTTCTCTGCCTATGTCAGCAGCTTGCAGATCAACTCCTAGAGGCACTGCAAAGAAAACCAGGATATAATTCAGCACACTTTTAGTGTAGTTCGCATAGATAATTTTATTGCTGAGTTGCAAGTTGTTCAGAGGAGTTAAGGACTTCAGTGGCTCCAGCTGGCTGGTGATAAAAAATTACACTTAAGATGGTAAACATAGGATGATGATGGGAGATCACTTCCAACTCTACTGTGCTTGAGCAGTTGAAGAAGAGACCTGTAGTCGCAAAGAGAATTGAAAATGTCACACCAACTCTAAAATAGGATGGGAATGGAGGAGAACGTGGTCCACATAACTGAACAGTGATGGCAAAATTAAGCATCTCAACAGAGAAAACTGTCAGCTTGCAGCTGACAGCTGCAGCAGCCAGAGCAGTAATACAATTCATCTGCAGTAGTTGCTCCACACCTTTGCCATTTAACAGTTTATCAAGGTAGGACACTGGATAAAGAATACTCATTGAGTAGGATTCAGGACACTAAGCTCTACCAAATGAATGATATAAAACACATTTATGAATAAATAATGACTGAAATTTCAACGGGGATCCATTTATAAAACAGAGGTAATTTTACAAAGCTCCTAGACTTTCAACATCACTGTGATGACTGACTACCTGAAGAACCCCCGTGCAATGAATGAAGGTGCCGATTACCAGGTAACATGCAGATACTAGTTGCGCGACTTTAAGGTTTTGCTGAGCTTTCCCAACACCTAGAACTGCATCTCCTCTTCCATATCTTGGACAATTATGCCAAGTTCTATTACACTTTTTTTTTTTTTTTTATATTCAAGTTCATTTAGGTTTATATTTCCTGACATGATGTATCAATTTCAACAGTCACAGGTGACCATCTCCACAGAATTAAAGTAAATATTTAACTCCTGTCAGGCCTTCATATGGGCTGAGTTAAAGATACACTCTTTTGAATGGGTAAATATATATTGTGCCTGTTGATTTATAAGACTTGTCTCTCCATTAAGACTCTCCTAAATAGCATGTCACTGAGCATTAAATAATCTTCAGCACTTTATAGCCCCAAATCACCCCCAAGGCAAACAATTTAAGTGAACTTTAGCCTGTTCTTCAAGTGTTTTGCACTGGCCCCCAGTTCCACTGAAATCGCTGACTCCTTCCCTTTCCACCTGCTTTCTATCAACCCCCCTCATCCCTACCCCACAATAGCCTACAGAGTCAGGAAAATCTACAGCCCCCGAGAGAACTGGTAGTCTTGGGTACAAGGCCAGTTTGGGAAACCTTTTCCTTTGTCCCCATCAGCCCAGTTTTGTCCACCTATCAAAACCAGAGGGAATCTTCTCTTGATTTTGCAAACTTTGTATGACTATTTATATGATTAATCGTAAGAGACATGCTGACAAATAATATTTAGCACTGGAACTGAGCCCAATTAAACATTTTCAGAAGAACCTATGTAAAATGCTGATAAACACCAGCTTGATTAACCTCAGATCACCTTCCTTCTGTAATGCACAACTTTAAAAAGTAGATACATACATCTCTCTACACCGATGACAGATTTTTTTTTAACAATGTTCAGAAATTTAAATCAGAAATGTTTATATTTGTTGCCTAAACACTACTCCAATAATAGAAGGCCATTTTAGAATCTAGTGATAATTTTATTTAAAAAACCCCTTTATAACTCATTAAGGTTGGTGCCAAAATTGGCACTAGGTCCAATGGTTTTCCAAAGCAGGATTATCCCATTATCTCTCTGAACAAAAAACAACAAAAGCAGGTAAGTACAGCTTTCAGGATGCTGCCAAGGACATTTAAACAGCTACTCTCAATATTCTTCTGCAAGACAAATTGAGCAAAACTGTCCTTAGTGTACAGAAAGCTATATTAATCTTTCACGGTAGGTTTTCTTTATTACCAGGATCAAAAATAAGTCATGAACATAAAAACTGCAAAAGAAAGTCAGACTAACTGCAATTATTTTTCCCCTGGTCTTTTCCTTTCTTCCAAGCTCTCCATGGATACAGAGACCAAAGTGTATGCTGTGTGAGAATGTAAATCGAATCATACATTTAAAATGGATTTTCATTTATGTACAGCAGTTACTGTTCATGAATGTTACACAGTCCCTGCAATTACATTCTTTTTAAGTCTTCACTTTACTGAATCTTCTGGTGGATAAACAGAAAGGAGAGGTGGATTCAAGGAGTAAGGAATGATCACAGTTATTAAGAATTTGGGGAATTTGAGTAGTAAACCTTGAGGAGTCTTCCACAAAGTTCCAGAAATAAATGGTGGCAACGTGTATATATTGCAATTTTATTTCATTCGCTCAAACAAAACGTTAGCATGTAAGAAATTTAAAATGACACATTATGATAAAAATAGCAGAGAATGAACTGAGAAACTGAAAAGAAGGTAAACCTAAATGCATGAAAAGTCAACATTCATTAGTGATCATCTTCAGTCTTTGATTGACACTTGATGCTCGATAACTTTTTAAAACAATGAACTGGAAATCACTATGACTATCTGAAGAGATTTCAGCACCAGCACTAAGATTTTTACATTCAGTTGGTTTGCAGTTGACTTGGTAGCCACTTGTCTATAGTGCAGGTTTATCACAGGTCAGATCACAGTGTTGAGGAAAGCAACGCCTTCCTGGCATTAGAAAGGATCCCTTAAACTGCCCTCAGCTTAAGACATCCATTGTACAAAAGCACAGAACCACCACAGTATGGTTTTTAAAGAACTTAGTTACCAGGAAGCAAAATAATCTTAGCTTCTGCAGTTCATTTTCAATACTGAAATCTCTGGAAATGGTGCAACTGTCAGTAGGACAGGAAATGTCTACAGTAATCTTAATTCAATCTGATTTTCTGGAAAGAACCAATTCGGCAGTTTGAGATACAGAAAGTATGTATGTAGAAGCAGCACAAAAGACAACATCTGTTCCTTTTTCTTTTAAACAGAAATCATGTTAATTGTAGACCAAGGCACAAAACGTTTAGTGCATAAGCCAGTTCCTTGCACAATCCAGTAGTTCAGCCTTTAATTTTGGACCACTTCTACCCATTCACGCTATTCCAACTATGCTACTCCTGAACTCTCCTAGAAACAAATCAAACATGATTTCTGACAAGGGTAAACGTCCTTAATGCTCAAAAAGTCTGTATAAAACAAAAACTTACATCAACAAAGATGAAAATGCCTCCTCTTGTTTTGAGAAAAACAGTACTTGACAAGCTTACTACAGATTTTTTTTTTAATGCCTTCAATAAATGCATGCAGAAAAATGTTTTTGTTTTTCTTTTTAAAAGATGATTAATAGATGGAGTTAGGCAATATTTCCACTGTAGTCTCCTCTTAGAATTTGAGCCTATAGAAACAGGAAATGTTTGAATTGGAGAAAAATTTCCTATTTAAGCCTTCCCAAAGCTCTAAGTGCTGTTTTGCTTTGGTGTTCAGCACTTAAGACAGTATGTTATTGAAAGCATTTGTCCTACAAATGGAGCTGCATATACTGTTAAGCTGAAACATTAATCTCTCCAAAAGTTCTAAGTAAACTTTTCTTTTGGATCAGCACTGATCCCAAAGCAAACATGGCACTGTTACGGCTCAGAAAAATTGACAGTGCAAAGGTAAAGGGAAGATTTTGATCCACATTCTTTGTCCAAAGCACTACAAATCCAATTCACAGAATTTATCTTCCAATGAACTGTACCACATTAAAAAAAATTTTTAAATTAAAAATTTACAAGCATAGAATCTGAAGACCCTGGGAAACAGAAAGGTATCATCTCCCCTAAAAATGATTCTCAAATTGTTGACTGAAACCCATGACATACCATTGCTGTTTTTTGGGGTTGTGTGGAGCTGTGGGGTTTTCTGTTGGTTTTGAGTTTTTTTGGAAGGAGGGTGGCAGATAAATTAGGAGGAGAAGGGGACATTTACTGTGACCTGATGCTCCATCATTCTAAGGTAACTAACTGCTGTCCTGTTTCATTAAACAATCAAAAAAGGAGTCTCAGAAAAGAGTGAAGCAGAGGGTCATGGTAAAAAGGTAAAGGACAACGCACTTACACAGGGGCATCCTCAGTAATTCAGATGCCTACATGTTTGTTCTCTCACTGAGAAATGTGTTAGGTTCACGTGGGAGTTTCAGAACCATTATGGAAGTATTACTGAATTTCAAATAGAAAACTGAAAAAAGATACAAAAGGATTAAGTACCTGGTTCCATTAACATGGTTACTGATAAAAGTCACGTTTTCCTCATTATTACACATGCATGTAAGATGAAGAAAAAGTGTATAAAGTAATAAAAATGTGTCACCTTCCCCCTCCCTCATCCCACATCTTTCTGGGCATAAATTAAGCCTTACAAATGAAAAGGCTACTCTGTGACATGCAATTTTTCTTTTAATTAAAAAGCTGGCTGTGTTGTGTTACATTACAAAAATGTCCACATGCATAAATCTAAAAAAAGCCCCAAAATCTACTGTAAATCTACAACATACTAATGATTTACATTTGACTGCTGATTCGCATTATGTAGAAGTCTTAGATTTGGTAAAGCATCGTAACAATGTAGGAAGGCATCTACATCTTTAAACTCTGAACTGTATTTGCTTCTTTTTAATTTTCCTATAAAATTGCATGAAGGCTAACTAGAGAGGCTTCCTATCATAAAATTCCAAAATCTTGATATGTCGTCACTGTCTAGGTCATTCACTTACAAATATTGCCCTTTAAAAGCACACATCTCTAATTGCTCCATGTTTTGAGAACTGAACTTCTACACATCTGATCTTTTAAATTATTCATGGAAATATCAGATATGATAGGAAGACAAACCTGAGATACATTTGAAGTACAACAGTATAACTTGCTAACTCCTTCATTAATAAAGAAAACCTCTCTGAAAAGCCTTCCCAAGCTTTTCCCTGTTTTTTGTCTTAACAACAAATTCTGAAACATGTGCAATTTTATCTTGACATGAGTAGACTTCAAAGCACTGTGATCTTGTCTGATAGGTGTAGGAATTTCTGCATAATCATTACAGTAACTTTAAGAGTCTTTTCCACCCTGCTGTAAAGGTCAGAAAAAAGCTGCAAACTAGGAGGGGAATAGCATATCACCAGAGTGATGTGTCTGAAGCTTTTCAGAATAGGTTGTTTCTCCCTCCTTCCAAGTGTCTGTCTGTCTCCATTTTCTTCTAACAGCTCACAAAACGTAGTCAGTTTTATACCAAGTTAAAGAGTCACATCGGCTTAGTACTAGTCTTTCTATGCAGTGTTCGACTTGCTGAGTTCCTGCCTGATAGCTAGAGAGAAAGAGAGAGGAAGATTAGCAAATCAAATAATCAAAGTCAAGACAGAAAGCCAGAATACACACTGACCCCTTAAAAAAGGCTCACCCTGCTCCAACAGTCTTATGTGAATAAACTGTAGGCAACATAGCTTCATGTGGCTTCAGACAAGTGTCAAACAGTCAATACCCTTATTTCTCCTGTAAAATTTTTGTTAACATCTTATTTTTCAGTTCTGCATCTCCAGCAAGTCTGTGACCCTACCTGATGACAATCACTATCACTGGTATTATCAAGAAGCATATGTGTGTGTTCATTTATTTTATTTTTTTGTTTAAGAGCAGCCTCAGGGCTCTCCCCCATTTGCATTGTATTGTTCTAAAAGGCTGCAGTACACAGCACAATCAAAATACAGGGAAAAGCACTGCATTCTCTGTAGCCCAAAACCAGTCAGCTCTTTCTGTGACATCAGTCGATGACATCTGATATTTCACCAGCAGTGGTATCAGTTATAATGACTACCCCTCCCTGCCCTTTTTTTTTTTTTTTTTGCACCATACTTTATTTTGGTACTTTCCACAAAGCAAAAGAAACGCACACTGAGATAGTAAATCACACACAGAGTTTTATTTACTTCTTGACTGGTACACCTTTAAGATTATGGTTTCTCAGTGATTTCCCTTAACTACAGAAGATGACTTAGGAAAGTATCTTCTGTTAAAATAAAAATGAAAACTGTGAGAATTCTTTTCTTTGACTCTTATGTTACAGACCAAAGAATAGAAGACTGAAAGCTGGAAGTGCAATCCTAGTCTGAATATTACCAGTTTTGAAATATGCACCTCAGCAGCTCGGGATTATTTAAAAATAACTCACCTATCACCACAGGATACTAAGGATAACTGCAAATCACACAAATACAGCACATCCCTCCAACCATTTTAAAAGACACTACTTGGTGTCAATGTTCTATTAAAGCAAAGCACACAGGAGATAAAACACTGAAGGACATAAATCAGAATATGTCTGGCACAAATGAAAATGCGCCACCAGACTAAGAACAAAGCTACTTTTACCAATATATCATTCTTGGGCTAGAAACACATTATATTTACATTGTTGTACACCCATAGCTACTTCCTCTATGACTGAACAGAAGCAGCAAACAGACTGATACCTACCATCAATGAGTTCTTCCTTTAATTTTGTTAACTCCTTCCTCATTTCATCTAAAATGTCCTATGGTGTCAGAGCATAAATAATAGATTAGTTGTGCAACATGAACAGATTCGTTTTGCCACCTGTAATTTTCTGCAGAAAGAAATCTGAAATTCTTCCAAACTTTAACCAACCTGTATCCCTTCTGAAATGTATAACCCGCCCTTTAGCTTCCAAGTTAGTCCCCAAAACCTAAAGCACCCCTAAACCAGTCTTACTGCAGTTACAGTGAAGAAAAGACCTTCCACAGAGGTCCTACAAACTGATTCCTGTAGAACTTAGGAGAGAAGGCACATACTGAAGTTAGAATACTGCATTAATGCAATTTCTAAATAAGAAAAAGAGAAAACTTGACACATTCCTTTAAAATAAGAAAGCTTTGCTACAGATGAAATATGATGTGGAATGCAAAAAAAAGTAGCTAACTAAAAACTACAAGGAAAGGAAATCATAATAATAAAAAAAAAAAAGAATAAAAAGGGAGATCAAGTTATGAAGGTATTCCCAAGTCACCAAGTGGAATGTAAGGGGAATAAAGGTACCTGAGCAAAGTGCCATCCCCCAGCTTGCTGCTTTCTCCATCCTTTCATCTAAGTGATGTTAACTGATGATTTGGTGACAATGTTTTTACAAACTGAGTGGAGGGTAGTGTCTGCTTCTGCAGAGGAGACTGTCACCTCACTGCTAAATCTGCCTCTGCAGATTTCAGCTGTTTGGGTTTTTTTCAGGTTTGGGGTTAGCATGCTGTTTGCAACTGAGCGTGTAATTACTCTAGTATACTCTACACTTGTTGAGGCCTTTATGAGCTATTGGTGGAACACATATGAGTGGACACACCTTCCCTGCCTGAAGTCATTCCTGACATAACAGCACGGACCAAAGCTGCAGAGGTAGGTCTCCCAATTCGTTAAGTCTTAGACAAAACTCTAGGACAAATGGCAAGAATCCTTGGAGCAGAAAGCAGAAGCATGGTTAGGAAGGGAAACAGCAACTAAGAGCTTGACACATGCTCAGTAGAAATAGACCGTGAAGTGATTTTGCCTCTAGTGAAAAGAATCTTAACGGAGGCAGTGAGAGTCAGCATGTTGGAAACTTGGGAGCGCTATGCTTTATGGGATGATAGGATACCCATCCTCTGTGCCTTCAACTTTAAAGAACCACAGAGAATTTTTTTTTTTTTTTAAAAAAAAAAGCACCACAAAAAAAAAAAAAAAAAAAACAACACAGAAGGGGGGAAAAAATAGCAGCCAGACTGGTATCAGCAACGTTTCATGAAAACGGTAGCAAGAGTACTGGCAAATCTTCTTGACACGACAAAACAGGAGTACCCCTTGAACTAGATTCTAGAACAACCCACACACACTCCAGAACCACTCAACAGTCCAGAATCTGCTCCAGAACAACCTACTAAGCCAGAAAATTACATAGAACCAACCACAACACTAGAGCCCACTCTGGAACTGATCACTGTGCTGGAACCCAGTCTAGAACTGACTGCTGAGCTGGAACCTGCTCTACAATCAACCATCAACGTGGAACTTGGCTCCAGAACCTCCCTCCTCACTTGGGGATCAGCCTGTTGATCCAAATGCTGCTTGAGGAAGATCCTTCACCTCCAACTCCACAATTCACACCCTTCTAAAAATCACTGCCTTCAACACCACCACCATAGCCCTACAAACAACCACCCTCCCTGAACTCACCAAGTCCAGAACCCACCCACTGTACAACCGACCGTGGCTCTACAAACTCCTGAATGTAGAGCCCCCTGGCAACAGCTAGCACATCACTCCTCTTTTCGAAGACAGGGATCCAACTTTAGCAGAGCCTCGCCTGGAAAAAACGCCGATCACACCCACAATACACTGCTTGGTCATAGTCTCTGCCAGAAAAGTAACTAGCACCACCTCAACGTGGTCCCCAAGAAAAGGAACTTCCACCAGCTCAGCATGGACAAATGTGGCCAAAAAACTCTGCCAAGACCTCAGACATGACCCCCCATACCACACAAATCAGATTGGCACTGAGAAAGCACAGTACTGCTTTTTCCCAAGCTTCACTCAGCAAGCCACCAGCAGACCAGCTACCCCCATCATACCACCCCGCTCTTCAAAACTGGCCCCTACCCCAGGGACACCATACTGAAATGTTGCTCACCCACAGGAATCAGGTTTCCCTGATGCATGTTGACCTCGCAGCTCCTGAAGACCCTAAAGATTACTAGATGTACCACGAAGCACAACAGGGCAAAAATACACAGTAGCATTCTCGCACGTGGACAACTCCAAACACCTTACACAAATCTACTTGGATCAGTATTAGCCCAATGCCTCAGGCAACAACTGCTTGCAAAATGACATCTGCACTGAAAGCATCTACCAATGGCAGCAAAGATGATCATCTTAGGGCCTCCTCAGCAACAGGCGACTTCTCAGCAGTCAGAGGAACAGAAATACCTTACGCTCACTTGTTCCTCTGGGGGCTCCTGTTCTTAGGAAGGTGGAACATCTGCTCAGTCTACAGATCACTAATGCTCTTAAACTGATAGCGCCTGTCTTCATACAAGTCACAACAGACCCCTTGATGAGCCTCTGCTTGCATGGGTTTAGCTGTTTAGCAAGTGTACCTGACAAAGGCCTATTACCTACAGGTAACTGTTACCAAATAATTTCCGAGACATCCCATAACATCTTGTCCTCATCTAACAGCAGGTGGCTACCGCCTTCTTCCCACAAGACTCGCCTCTGCTCTTAGCCAGGATAGCTATACAAAAGGTGGTGAAACTGGATGCTCTTTCACCACCAAACTCATGACCACAGATGCTCACATCTGATATTAAAACATGGTGATACCTGTTCTGCTAGAACTGCTCTGAGCGCTTGTTATTTGCTTGCTTTTTTGTTTGGGTAGAGAGAAGGAAAGGTTTCCCAGGCAAAGCAGTTTCCCAGTTCCATCCATAGTACCAATAGAACCCCATGTGTGCTGCTTAATGCAAAAGCAATAACAAGCACCTGTGAGAAAGTCATGCAGCTGTGTAAGCCTACAGTTACAGCTCCTAAGGATACTGAAACATGTCTGAGGAAAAATAGCAACTAATAATTATTAAATCATTATTTATGTTTGGAACTAGTTAACAGAACAGTTAAAAACTGGTATTGGACAGCTACAAGTCCTTATACCCAAGTTTTTTGTTCAAAGCATTATACACGTACCTGCTTCAATCTGTCATAATCTAGACCTTCTGACTGTACTCCATTGGCACTGGGTTGCCCCGTTGGTGTAGATTTTGGTCTGCAGTACAAAAACACATCCATGAATTACTGGTCACTAATTATTACAGGATACACAGGACTCCCCATCAAACTTGCTAACATTCGTATATCGAAACACAGTAAAGAATCAGAATGAAAAAAACATGTTGGGAGTGGGAGGGTGGGAAAAATCAGGCAGACCCAAAATACCACATAGAATAGAAAGCAACAACCAAGAACATTTTCCACACATTGAAACATTAATTACCATAAGAATAAGCGTTATTAGTTCAAAACAAGAACTTTTCAAGTAGCAGACAGATTTCACTGTCAGTGGTTTCTGATTTTTTCATAAAGGGCATGAAAAGCTGAATGCCTTCAAAATGTCAAATACCTTCCCTTCTCCTTTTTCAACTGCTTACTTAATTCAAAAGAGACTCTCTCTGAGAAACACTCCCACTAACTAATGACTACATGTTGATGCTGTAACTGTATGAATGCAGTGGAATCACCCTGGCAGATTTTCAACATTTGACAGGACATGGCTGAGCAACCTTATCTAACTTCCTTCCAACCTAAATTATTACATCAATTGCTTTCTAAAGCTACTGAAAGCAAACACTCTAACAGCAGCAAGATTTAGAAGATAATACCTGAGAGGAAGTTCTAGTGTTTTGGACTATGTCATGTTCAATGTTGGCTTATGGAATAGTCTCTTAAGACATTAAAAACTTGTATACCAGGATCATCTTGCATTTTTAACACACATTCCAAAAGAAGTGCATTTTCTACCTTCTCGCTTTTCTTTTCCAATCCCCTCTGTTTATACAAGGTGTAACTCAGACTCATGTACTTACTACGCTTCCACGGGGCCTTGCATACCTACAGCTATGAACAGAGACAGAACCTACATGCTGACCACAGGAATACAGAAACAGTTCTCCAAAGCAGGGGAGGATGGATGAGTGGTATGGGACAAAGAGGGAGGAATGTTCTGTTGTTCTCAATTATTTTTACATCTTGGCTAACATTCTCTCTCTGTTACTCTATAAAATGTTAAGCCAAAAAGAAACTGTTGATAAAATTGCTGACAGTTTACATCAAGAGGTTTCCCCAATGTTTAGAATTATCGCAGCATGTGAACATTAAGGGCCGACAGGGTATTAGTAGACTAAACCAGGTCCTGTTTCCTTGTCCTTGTATGTGGCACCACTGAACAAAAAAGCCTGGCCTAAATTCTATGTGTCACTTCAAAATTCTTACATAGGAGGAATTGATTACATAGCATTTTTGGGGATTTATTACCTGAAGGTACAGCTTTATTTATTACAATGGAAGGTTGCCAGGAACAAAAAAGACAAATCAGCAGGAAAGGTACAGTTCTACACTTCATCTTTTCTCAAATACACAGTATAAAAACTATCTTTTTTTCATAGTAGAGCAGAATGTGTGAGGGACACAAGCAGTATATCCATCACTTTAGTTTTACCATTTATGTATTTTTAATTTAGCTAACACAAAAATACCTGTGTTCTCACTCAGAAGAAAAAGAATAGTGAATCTATATATATATATACACACACACATATATCTATATATTCTGTTTGTTTTCACAAAATCAGTACCTTCAGCTTTCATGCATCTTCCCTTACAAGACAGCAGTTCAACCATGAAGAAACTGACTGATTACACTGTCTCTGTTCAGCATAAGCTGAATGAACCTCATACTGGATTGTCTTGACTTTTATAGCCCGACAGGACTATTTTCTTATTTGCTATCTGAAGGAAAACATTCAAAATGTGACTCCTAACAGAAAAGGGCATGCACACCAGTTGTTCTGATACTACAGAAACTTTCTCAGGTTTGTGCCTTCCAGCAGATAGTTCTACCTCTTGTAGGCTCCCAGTGTGAAAAATGTTAAGAAACAACATGGGACACAAGAATTGCCTAGATTTCCTCCCCCTAACCTGTAATAGGGCATTTCTGTGACACTGAAGAGCCTGGCACATTAAAAAAAAAAACAAACCTTCATACACATTCATAGCTACCAACTAATTCTGGTGGCGGGGCATTTTAAATTAGTACACCTGAGCCCATTCATCATTTCAAAAGGCAGTAACAACTCTGGTGTAGGTGTTAGAAATCTCTAGAAAATTTTTTTTTGATGCTTCATGATTATTTATGTGCACTGACAAGTTAGTTATGTCAAGCCTAGTGGCACCCATTTAGGAAAAAACTGCAAGCAGTTAACCACGCAGAACAGAGTCAGCAGAAGGGAATGTATAACTGTTCCTTTGCTGCTGGACTTTGCCTCGATGAAGAAAGGTGCAGGAAATCCTGTGTTGTACCAGTTTGGCTCTTCACTTGGGATCACAATACTCAATTACTACTACTGTTTAGATGTACGTCTACAGCTGTTTAAGTTCCAAGAGAGAAACTGCTAACATCATTTTTTCTTGAAACACACCGAAATGAAATACATGATCAACCAAGCAAGACAGAAGACAAAATATTCAATAACTTGATAGTGGAAGAAGCTGGAAAATAGAATTCACCTTGCAGTCACCAGAAAATCTACAGTGTGCGCTAATGCTATGAAGACAAACCACAGTTTAGGATCTTTTACAAAACTCTTTTGATAGCAACAGCATTTAGTTCATCATGAAAGAATTCCTTGCTCAAAAACATTCATCAAGATGAAATCTTTGGCAATTGCTGCTTCATCACATATCTGATATTTAAAGTGCTGCTTGCACTTTATACCTCAAACTGTGAACACTGACTTATTCCAAGCAGAATAGCATGAGTTTTTCAGACTCTCCATATATAGTTTTTGATCGTTTTCACTGATTATCGCTTTGTTCCCATACACTGTGGCATTACAGCATTTACCCAACATGACTGAATAAAGATTCGGTGTTCTCTCAAATGTAATTCCTGGCAATTGATAACAGGAACCTACTACCTGCCTTAAGGGAAGAACCCAAATAAGAATATACTTTAATATTTTAATAAAATGTCTTATGACTTTAATATTTTAATGAGATGGTTTTAAAGAAGAGCTCTCCACAGACAGACTGCTTTATATGTTTCTTTTGCTTCAGAACTTTAGAGAGACAGCTACCCAATCATACACTACATACTCCTGCTACCTGTCAAAAATCTCAGCAGAAAAGCCTCTTTATGAACTCTACCACTCAGTCTTAAGAATGTATTCCATTTTTGCTTTTCGAAATGCAAGATATTCTTCATTCAAATATGAAAGACCATAATTTGTAAACTAAATAATTTCTAATCTCAGGCAAATCTAGCTGTCTTCCCCCCAGAATTATCCTATTTCTCCTTCTTCAACTTGCTCAGAAAAAAAGATCAATGGTGAATGCAGTTGCCATTAAGGAAATTCACTAACTACTGAAATTTAGCGAATAAAACATCCTGACCATTCGATCTTAAAATGGCTAAAGAGCTCTCCCGTGTGGTTTTTCATAGCATTGCCTAGCAGGACAGTGAGGTAACTCTGATAGTCCCTAAAAAAAACCTTAAATCAAGCATGCAAGATAAAGATTTTATTCATGCCAACATGCAGAATACACCACCCAAGATAAGTAGCTAAAAGGGGAACTTTTCATACAAAAGATTAAGTAGTCACCACAATGAGTACCTTCATGAAAAGCAAAGCTGGAGTTTGACTCAGTAATTCTGAGGGGTTCTATAACATGTTTACCTGTGAAAAGCTCTTAAAACCTGAAGTCTTTCAATATCAGTATTTTATTACTACCACTAGAGTGAAACAGATTCACAACTTTAAAGTACACATGCTAATTCTAACTTGCGAATATGTTCCCAACAGAAACATTAATTTATGTTTAACAAGTCTTTTTTTTTTTTTTTTTTTTTTTCCTCCCTTTCTGATGTTTTAAGTCAGGCAAAATCTATTTGTTATCTTTACTTAATTTGCGAAAAGCAGATGTGAAAACTCACCTGGAAAATTAACTGCTATTCCTGTGTATCTAAACTTACATTTTTGAAAACCTGCTTCTCAAAACACTGCAACTGGTTCACTAATTCCTGGCATATCCAACAGGAATTTGTACCTTTGCAGGTGGCGACTGCCAGAAAACCAGCATTTAATAAGAATTCATAGCTGGTTCTTAAACCATTTCAATCTGCCTTTGACATCTGCTTTCAACCAGTCCAAAAATGGGCTCAACTGGACAAACAAAATGTGAAGAGGAACCTGGTGGTGTGTGTGGTGATTACCAATCCATGTAGAAAAAGTCCAACCCTGCACTGGTCAAAACAGTTATTACAGTCTCAAATCCCAACAGGATGATACCTGTTTAATGTATCATAGAACCTGTTTTCAGAAGCAAGCAGATTTTTCCATGGAGATTCCCGTCTATGAAGGGGAGAAACACTACCTTAACAAGCTATAATAGGTCTTGATTTTGTTCAGTTTTAGCACCTTAAATACCACCGAGTTTCACTAGTTGTGTTCTAAGAGTTCTATCTGACTGTTTCAGAAAATAATAAAAGCACATAGCTTAGGTCTTTTCAAATTGTGCTACATAAAAAACAACAACAAAAAAAGAGCCTGATTTTAAACAGGACACTAGTTATTTTAAAATACTTAGAACATTCAATATGAATAACAATTCCTTCATTGTCTGCCTGTTTGGAAGCTCTGAAAATTTTGCTTACTTGCCAGTTTCTTAGGTATGCTTTGTTTAATCCCATAAATGACTCATATCCTCTCTGTAGAGGTCAGAAGCAGGTTCTCAACCCTTACCAGGTGAAAGATATCCCCTTTTGGCAAACACAGTATTAGTGTTTCAAATAGCAACATCCTTTGACTAACTCAAAGAAAGTTATTTTAACAAGCTGCTTGCTGAGACAGATTTGGCAACTGCAGAAAATTAAGAAAAATGCAAGTATATTCAGGAGAGACTTCTACTAATATCTTTTCTTTCTAGGTCTATGAAACATTCCTCACCCTGGCAGGGTAAACTGTCAACACCGACTCGAAAACGGTACCAGCAGTCTTAAGGTATATGCTATGGCACCTTCCAGCAGGTTATGACAGCACTGGAAAACAATACTGACATTTGATAAATATGGAATTCTTATTTTGAAAGTACTTCTAGAGTATACACCCTGTAAGGATCTCATCAAGCTCAATTCTATTAACATTTTCCATTGGATGACTTAAGACAAAAGCTTGATGAAGAGATCTTCTCAATATAACTGAAGTCTCAAAACTCCTCTGTATTCCTCTATGTCAGAAAACATTTTTAAGTAGACTTCAGTAACCTCTGAATTTCACCAGCTGAAACAAGATCAATGAAATAGGATGCATGAAACAGTGTACAAGCTACGGCTGTAAGGACAGGTAGAAGGGCATCCCAGACTCCCCAAAGGAGTCTAATATGGAGAGTTGCCCTATTTATTAATCCTTTCACTTTCCTTTCTTCAACTGCTTATCCACTGGGTATTTATAGCCACAGGGCCAGGTCAGCAATTATCTGAAATCTGAAATGTTCTTTAGGATTCCTTACACTAATTATTTCTGTGACAAGTTCACCCTCACTGCCACGGATTGATACCTCAATCTGCTTGAAAACAAGAGACCTCGCTTAAAGCAGGTAAGATCTACCGGGAGGTCAGGGGGAAGAAGGCAGGGGGAAGTCAGCAGTATTTTGTTACACCTGACAGAACAGCAGAGAGGACATTACCACCAATGTCACCTGCTTTTTGACAAAAAACAAAGCAAGCGACACAGAATCAGGGCTGCTGACATTTTAAGATCCTGGACTTAGTTATTTCTGAAAGAGACAAGGACACTGATATAGGCTGAGTATGTTTAGTGCTGCATTTTAAAGACCTTGATGGGAACCTCAACCACAAGTCACGCCACTAAGAGAATAATTAGTTTTTCTTCTCTAATCACCAAATCTTGCATAGCTGTTTCCAACAGGCCAGAATTTTAAGGAGAATTCAAGTAAATTTCAAACACAACATTTTCAAGTTTAACATGTTCTTTTGTTTTCTCTCAGGAAATTCAGTTAACTTTGTCAGATTATCACAGGTCAGAACTCTTTAACCTCTGTATGCAGACTATAAAGTAATTCTAAAATGAACCACAGTCCTGTTTAATGTAAATGGCAATTAAATATACTTCAAAAAATAACATAAAAAAATGCTAAAGCAGCTGTTTCACTCTCTTGCATTACTGAAATGCCTACCAAAGTTCCACCTGACAAGTTACCAAATATTGGTTAATGCACTGAAAGATGCATAATATTTTTGTACTACTTTAGGATGAGCTTCCTTGGATTGGTATGAGACAGCTACTGAAAACAGTCATAGAATCAAGTCTTACCAAGATGGCTTACATATCCAGAGATAACCATTTTATGACTGGCACAGAAGGAGAATGGAAAAAACCTGTTCCCTAGATTTACTACTGAATATATGAATCACAGCACTGAATTTGGTTTTCCTTTGCAGATTTCAGAATTTAAAATTTAAAGGAATAGAAAGAATTAAACATTGCTGTAGGTAAACATACACATTAATAACTGAAGTTATACACCAGCAACTGCTAAGGATCTTTTTGGGTTTTACTTTTGAATCTACTGTCAAAAGAATTCACTTACTAGTATTCTGCAAAGCAATCCTTCATTCCTAATTAAAACTGCCAAAAGCAGTTTCACAACAGTAATTTTAAACCCATACATTTTGCTTTTAATACTACTAAGATGGTTTTTGCTATTTTAGTCCAGTATCTTCAGCAGCATAAGCAACAGCAGCAAACATAAGGAAAAGACAGTTAATAAAAAAAGGGAGTACCTGGAGATAACAGGTGACTTGCTTCCATTCACTGTATTTGTTCTTTCCCAAGGCTTTCTTGTTAGTTCTGGAAAAAATAGTGAGAAGATTAAAAACAGACTTTTTCTATTTGTTATGTAATTTACGTGAGGAAACATCAAGTACCTGGCAGCTTAAGTCAGCCATTGTTGGTGTTTGTTTTATTCTTACACTGGATTAATTCTTCCTTATTAAGCTACCTCCTGTTGTATTCATCTTATTTTTAGTCATACTACCATTTCTGTTGTGATAGCATCTTAAAGTCTCACTTTTGTTCTAGACATTGTAAATGCCATTTGATTCTTAATCCAACTGGGAGAAGGTCTTCCTACACTTTACATATCTGAGTTCTTCAGTTCTGAAACATGGAATTGTATAACCAGATAGTCAGCTACAAATATTGGGGGAAGATGTTTTTAAGCTAAAGGAGTTTTCCTTCCACATTTGACACTTTTAAAAAGTTTGATGAGGTTTCTTATCATGACAATCAATTAAAGGAACCACTTCACTTTGACTGGTTTTGATTTCCCTCTTTTGTGCCTACGTTGTAAGAAGTGTTCCAAAACCAGTCATTTTCAAGGCTAGTATTTAACAGTATGAAGCAAACTCCTAAGCTAAGGGGAGAAGGAAAACAAAACAAAAGTATTAAAAAGCTGTTTTGTATTAAGTCATTTATTGCCTTGCAGTCTAATTTCTTTAGACCACTGGCTGTATCTCAATACTAACAGTTTTCCAGTTATTACCATCCAGACACACTTAGCTCCTAGCTGTCCTTGTTATCCCATAACCAGTGGCTGCCTGGGTTTTGTTCACACTACAGCAGTCATTTTCAATACTAAGGCCAGCACACTACCAAATGGCTGAATCATCTAGTGAGGAAGTATACACGGGCAAGCAATCAACAGAGAAATCTGTAACATTCTGAAGATGAGTATATTCATTAGCCAGTTATTTTTCTTTTAGGATGACAAACTGCAGGTTATCTGGTACATCTTCCCTCTTTTGTACTAATGTAGTGGGAGGTGGCCAAGGAAGCTAAGGGTACAAGAAGGCACTACTAAAGGACAGAAAAAGAAAGTCTTGAGTGTCACCTGGAGTCCCTGTAACACAAGAGTTTACAGTATGAATACACATGCATGATGACAATACATCTCAGCCAACTACAGAATTGGTGAGATGTAAGCATTCCTCGCTGACTGCAGCAGAAGTGTGGGCTACACAGTTCCAAACACTGTCACAAGCATACCTCAGCAGAGGAAACACGCTTAAAGAATTTCTACTTCATGCACTTACACTGATTTAGAAAAGACACTTGCATGTGAGGGAAACTTTACTAAAGTACCTGGAAGCAGCAACTGTTTGTCTGACTCTGATAATCTTGTACATCTGCCTTAAAGGAAACAAACTACTGTCCAACTTGTGTCCTGCAGTGACTGAGACAAACTGTTTTCACATTCACTACTAACTGCCTTCCATGCATCAGCCCCATGTTTGACACAGAAGGACCCTATATCACGTGCAGTGTTCCAGAGGATGTTCTTTTTATCTGTCATCTCCTGAAACACTTCTGAACCAGGACCCATTCTACAGCAAAATGCCAGGCCATAATCATGGGAGAAGAGACAGGCTCCAAAATTCAGTATACCTGACTGAAATTTGTTATTAGGTTTTAGCATTAGAGAGTCACGGAGTTTACAAACCTGTGCTACTTACCAGGTGTGCTTGTTGAAGAAACCTTAGAAGTTGAAGACTCTGATTCTTCCTGATTAAAAGTGAGGAGAGAGTGAAAAGCAGGGGAGGAAGAAGAGAGAAAAAAAAAACCACCTTTGATTCTTGTGAATCTAACAGATTAATCTCAACTGTTTAAATATTTATTTCACTTTCTATATAAAGGGTTCTGCTCAATTGTATAGAAATTGTGTAGAAAATGTGCAAGCACTATGCACTTCACAAAATAGTGGTTAAGTGTGTTATGTATATGGTAAAGTATAAATAATCTCCCATGTACATCATTAGAATCTTTCTCCGAATGTAGTATTGAATAATGTGAAGGAAGTAAAATTTCTCAACTCACAGTTTTATCTTCTTTCTGCTCTGGTTCTGTTGTTCCCTTTTCAGCAATTCTTCTCCTATAAGCAGAGACAAAGGTTACCAAGATCATCATGGCTTTAAGATGGAAGAATGTTGCTTAGTGTAATTAAAGACATATACAACTTTATAGCTAGATAACTGGAAATTAGTGTTTAAAGAAGTACTTTCAAAATACTTTCAAGGAGAAAGCCCTCCTGCCAAAGCAACTGTGCAATTCCTTCTCCTCTTGAAGTGTGTATCCCCTCCCCTACTGCCGCACAAAGACTTACACAGAAGAAAAGTACTCGATTACACTCAAGTAAAAACAACTATTCATAAAACGTTATCAACTTCATAAAGCAACCACATGAGCAAGCTAAAGTTTATTTGATCCTTAGCCAGCTGCAAAGAGGCACCCAAAATCCTACCTCTACGATGACTAAGCAGCTGGAGCCCAGCAGAAACAGCTCCTTACCTCCTGGCCAGTAGGGCACTCATTTCTTCCATCAGCCCACTGCCTCCCAAGGGAAGCGGTCCATTTCCACGGCCACTGTCTGTTTTAGATGAAGCAGAGCTTCCTCCTCCTCCACTTGAATTGGAGGAGTCTTCACCCTTCATAATACATAAAATAACAGCAGATGTGCAAATAAAATGATAGCTGACAATGAAAGAAGCAAAGTTCACATACGAGAAAGAAACAACTGTATAAAGAATGTGATGGGCTGGTAGTACATCCTGTAACAGTTTTTAAATAATTAATAAAGCCTACCCCGAAAGACTTGACACTGTTATTAATCTTGAACAAAAATTACAACCAGTTCAGAGAAACAGGGTTTAGAAACAGGAACTGGAAAAAGAAACAAGAGTTGTATTTACCCGTGAGACTTTCCTAAGTTTGGCTCCAGCAAGTGCAGCTGCTAGTCCAGTTAAAGGGCGATTTTCTTCAGACACAAATCCCACTGAAAATCCAGAGGCAGGGAGGGGAGGAGCAGGAGGTGGAAGGGGAACGGGAGGAACTTGGCTAGGAAGCGGAGGAGGAGGTGGTGGTGGCGGTGGAGGCCCTGAAGGTGGAAGTGGAGGTGGTGGTGGTGGGCCAGGAGGAGGTGGGGCTGCTACCGAAGACTGAGCTGGGCCAGGGGGCAAGGGGGGTGGGGGAGGAGGTGCAGGTGGTCCTTGGACAACACCTAGTATCAAAGAGAAGACAAATAGACTATATTAGGGATTTAGAAAAGAAAGATCTTATTTCCACTGAAATACTGGTTCTTTTGCTCAGTGTATGAGACGTTAATACTGGTAAAGGTCCTTTTTATAGGCAAGAAAACACTGCAAGTTTTAACAGGAGAGAAGCATTATTAAATGCACTAAAAATATTACATAGTATGCTATGAGAGATCAGACAGTTTCAGAGACATTTACATACAAACCCCCCCAGTCAGGTTCTGTGCTGCAACCAAGAAGAATCTTACATTGCGAAATAGGCAAAGATTTTATAAAGAGTCAAGTAAGGCATGAGCATCATACTGCGTAGGAACAATACTGTGTGTTCAAGTGGTGCTAAACACAGTGACCTTCCATTGTACTAACAAGCATTTAACACACCACCCAAACATCTGAATCCTTGAACTGTTTGAGATCCAAAGCTAATTTCGAAGCCGCAGAAAAATCTTTCCTCTAAAAAACATTCCAGGAATCAACTTTAATAATTTAATACAAACACTAATTAGTGAGTTAGAAGACTGATATATTTTAAGCTGATGGGAACAAGCTCTTCTATTTTTATCTATGAATCCTTTAATGCTTTAAATTCACATTGATATGCAATACAAAATGTGTTCTGAAGAAAAAGTCTTCTGATGATCACTGTGTTGTTATTATAGGAACAGTTTAAAAAATTGTGACTAAGAAAACAACCCCACACATCCTCCCTCAGCCTTACCCAAGCCGCCATAAGCTACTAAAAATGCTGCTCAACTACCTTAAGCAACCTCTATAGGCATGAATTTCATACACAAGTCTTCGTTTCCTACTCTGACAACCACTGTGTGAATTTAAAAGCCTTTTAAATTCTCTTGGCATCACTCACCATCCAAGTGCACACTTTTATTCCATACTACAAGTAAGGCTCTTAACCCTATTTCCACTCCATCCCAGAGCAGCTCACACCTTCATTTATGACAAGAGGGTATGAACAGGATCTACTCTGCACGGCTTGTGTTGATGAAGAAATAGTCTGTTCACCCCCAGGAGCACTTCTACCCACACCCTTACCTGAGCTACTACAGACTTACGTACAAAGACCTATATCTATTAAATCAATATAAAAGCTGGATTCTGGTTAACAATGACATTTACACCCACATAAAACACATTTCTATCATATCAGTAGAGTGTCCATTAAGTCTGTCACCTGCTTAACCAAGCTTTTTCTCTAAAGCCTTTTTAGCTATGCTGGTACCACAGGAAGACCTGTCTTTTTTATGTGCTCATACAGTCCTATATCAAAATACAAACACAGTACCGAAAGTGCTGTACGTGTTACATACTACTTTCTAAATCTGAAACTTCATGGAGTATCGAAGTGGTTCAGATTATTACTCGCTTAAGGTCATTCACGTGTCCAAAGCTGCACATACATTCTTCCATGCTGGCTGCCATTAGGAAACTAATGATGCTGCCTATTAATATCATGTTCCAAATAAACTAACAGTGCAAGATTTACCAAGCAAGTGTTCAACAAGCCCTGTCCTCAATAGGTGAGAGCCTAAGAAGTCAGAATTTTACTTATGACAGGCCACAGAATGCCGGCTCTTATCCGCGGAGCTTTAAAGTTTCCCTTACCCCAGTTTTCCAAATGGTGTTTTGTTGTGGTATTAAGATCACTGCAACTTTGGAAGCATTGTATTAATTCTTTGGGGCAGTTACGGGCTTTGATACCAATTGGTTTCGACTGCATTCCTGATTAGTGCATTAGTAGCAATAACAGAAAGCCTTACCCTGCTGGGTCGTAGGTTCAATCGGCTGAGAGGCTGCCTGCAAGACTGGCTCAGAAGCAGAGGAGTCTCCCAGCACAGAGTTTAGAGAGTTCTCAACAGAGGCAGGGGTAGCTGCAGAGGGAGAAGGGAGAACACTAGGCTTGGATGAGGGAGTCGAGGCATTCGGGGAGTTGGGAGAAGGAGAAGCTTGAGCTCCAGAGAGTGACAGAGGCGGAAAGGAAGGCAGCGGGGGAGGAGGAGGTGGCGGAGGCGGAGTTGGACCTGAGGTAGAAGGTGAAGGAACCGGATAAGCCAGGTTTTCAGGAAGCCCGTTAGGAGCTGTGGGAGACGTGGACATTTGTGTCACTGGATTAGACGCCGACACTGGGAGGACTGGTCTGGGACCAGTAGCTTTGCCTGGTGGACTGCTTATCATGACTGGGGGAGACGGGGGAAGGGGGGCAAAACTGGGCGCAGACCAGGCAACAGGTTTTGTATTTGGAGGCAAAGTCGCCGGAGCATTGACAGGAGAAGGGGGCCGAGAACTTTTGTTCAGCGGACGAGGAACCGTAGCATAATGGGGAAGAACAGGGTGGAAAGCTGAGCCTAAAGAAGTAGCAAAACGTGATGCAGAGTGCCTTAGAGGCGGTGTAGGGGGAGTGGAAGTCGGTGGTGCAGAAGTCACTACAGCGTACTCCGGTGTGGCCTCCGACATTGGTGCTGAGACTGCTTTTGCATATGATGGAGGAGGCGCTGAAGGAGGCTGGCAACTGGAGTATTCAGGAAGTGGAGTGCTATACGGGGAGTTGTCGAAAGATGGAGCTGGACAGAAGATGGAAAGCAGCAGCAAAGGCAGGATAAAAAAAGGAGAAAGAGAAAAAGGGAGCTAATGAAGCAACAAAACCAGCATTCAAACAAAATGTATAAATGTAGACTACAGTTAGTACCAGAGGATTAGGCACAAGTGAAAATACTGTTAGGAAAGTTTTACATATTATCAACAGCTGCTTTTAAGTTTTACCAAGTATTTTTGTGCCAACATTTGAATTTACAAGTACGTTCTAGAGTAAGTTTTCTCAAATCCCATCTGTGAGATGGATTAGATAAGTTGATTAATCAGTCTTTTATCAGGTTTTATCTTGTTTGGTTGCAAACTGCAAGCAAGTGTAGTGATCTTAACATTTGTTAGAACTCCACTAACCAAAATCAAACCATAGGCAGCAAATATCATCTTTCTCTTCCCCAGAAAAAGCTCCATTGCAAACTTGAAAGCACTGGGAATAAAACCACCAATAAAATCCTCTGCTCTAAAATGACTAGCTCTTACTTACTATTCCTTGACTTTTACTGTGAGCTGACTTCTTATGTAAATCGAGTTTGTTACTAAAGAACAACCAAGTGCTTGACTAATGTTCCATTATATTACCAAAATGAGAGCTTTCAGTTTCCGCAGGTAGTACATTATCTTATCTACAAATACATACAATAAATTTCACTGAAATGTTACTACAATGATAAATTAAGCAAGACTTCATACTGAAAGGCATTTCTTGCACTATCACTTTGCCTTATATAGGTACATACCTTCTATATTAACACACTCAACCTGATATCTTTAGGTAGGCTTTTTTCCAAATTATGTAATGAGAATACATATTGTTGGACAGAGCAAACAATGATAAGGTATTTGGAACTCATCATACATTAACCAATGTTGGAGGAGCCCAATATGACCCAAATTCTTCAATCAGTGTATAGCAACGGAGTGAGCAAATAGTGCAAAAAAATTTATTTCAGAGTTAATGGCAAACTATGACAAAAAAGTCAAAGCTCTTGGACTTCTTGCCATGAGAAAAGAAAGCAATTCCAACAAACAGAAGTCTGGAATACTGACTGTTGTTACACAACTGTACTCACTGCCCTTTGTTGCTTCTCTCCCACTCCATCACCCAAACACAGAGAGTAGTCTGGTACTTGAATACACTGAGTTTTTAAATTCTTACCAGCATTTGAAATTCTTCTCTCTCTTTCCCATTCCAATTGTTCCCTTTCCAACTGTTCTTGCCGTTCTCTTTCTTGCCTTTCCCGTTCAAGTCGTTCAAGTCTTTCTCGATCCTGCCTCTCCTTCTCTTGTCTCTCCCTTTCTAGGCGCTCTTGCCGTTCCCTTTCTTGCCGTTCTCTCTCCAGTTGCTCCTGTTCTAGGCGCTCTCTTTCAAGTCTTTCCCTTTCTAGCCTCTCTCTCTCCAGCCTCTCCCGTTCCATTCGTTCACGGTCCAGCCTCTCCCGTTCCAGCTCCTTCTGCCTCTGTTGCTCTTGCAACTGTCTACAATCATGAAAAAAGGAAAAGACTAAGATGCAAAGCGAAAACCAAAAATATCAAACAACTGTTAGCGGACAAGAAGAGATAAACTAATCAACAATCTTTGCACCAGCAAGAACAAAAGCACAGCGTTTGTACCTACATAAAATTCTTAATTCTACATGTAATTTTTCTGAGCTGGATAATAGTTTTATTATGTTTACAGTAAAAAGAATCATATATCCAATTTCCTCTGAACTAATTTAACATTCTGTGAGACAGCTTTCAAGAGGTAAGAATAGAAAGCTACTGCTGATAATTTACTAACTGATACAATCTTCCCACTTTGGGATATGAAGTTACATTTGTTCTTTGCACGGTATTTTATACTCAAAGCAGTAAATAAGAGTACAGTGAAATAGCAGTAACACGAATACTCATTAAAAAACACACCCCCAAACAAATTACATTTTTCAGATAAACTACTTGGCTAGTATTTATCCACATTTTACAGAAGCATCAAAATGTACACCTGTCTCTCCCCACTTGCACAATAATACACACATATACAACTTAACCAGCATCAAGACAAGAACACCCTGAAGGCGGGGGAAAACTGGACATGGTCAGAAAAAAAAAATCCAGGGTGCCACAGACAAGGAAACACTGTGGGGAGCTGGCAGGGCTTCCAGCTCCTGGGATTCTTTGCAAAGGAAAGCAGAGAGGGGAAAGACATGGAGAGGAGGAAAACAAGTAAAAGCCAGGCAGAGGAAATACAGAAAACTTTCTAAGGGTAAGAAGGAATCATGCAAAATCAGCCAAAGACACCAGGATGGCTGAAAGAAAGGACTTCCCTGCAAAAGCACAGTGGAAAAAGCTGTAAAAAAAAAAAAAACTTTTGCTTTTTTGCCTCAACTTGTTTTATATTTTCTTTAGGTTGGTTGTTTGGTTTTTTTTTCAATCATATTTTTAAAAGATACATGTTCCTAGTTGGCTAAAATATAGCTTTTTGATTTCCAAAGTTTTTTTCATCTCTTGGGGAAGCTCACTACTAAAACAAACATTAGGCACATCCTTCTCAAAGCTGTGGCCAGTATGTTCCTGTAAATACATATCATAAAAAATGTTGTTTGTTATCCTCTAGTTGAAGACTTATTAAAAAAAAAAAAAAAAAAAAGATGACATTTAACAAGAAAAACTTTTATATAAGGCACACAGCCATTTTTTTCTGCCATGCTTCAGATGTGAACTGAAGATAGCTTGTCAACAAATACAAAGCACAGCCAGCTTTTAACTGTACAGTAAAAAGGAGACCTAAATTTTGACACCTTAAGTTACCAGATACGTGTTTTCTGTAGACTGCCACTGGGCAATCTTATTTGGAAAGCTCATTGGTAGTTCTATACTATATGTTTAGAGCCATATAAAACTGAAGTCTGAAAATGAAGGGAACTTCAGCTATTTCACTCCTATTCATGTCCAGGAAATACTGTCAGAACTGGAAACCCCAGCCCATGCACTGTTACTACCGAAGTCCACTCTCTTATAGACCAATGTTTTTCCTTTATGAACAAAAAAACAGATAAAAATTGAAATCCCATAATTGCTATAAGCAATTGAGTTCCAGTTACGTGCAGCAAAAGGATTTTTCCCTACTGAACTTGTTACCCAGCATCCTCAGGGGCAGCAAAACAGCTCTGCTCCTGTATCAGTTCTTCCCTCAGCTCCTGTTCTCCCATATAATAAGTTGTAATAGCAGTCACTAAGAAATTAGGGCTGCAACTCAACTTGTTAAATGCTTGATTTTTAGCCTCTGTAGTCCACCAAAAAGTTTGGTAATTGACTGATACATATTTGGAACCAGTAGAGAATGTCTACAAAATATGAAGTTAATACAATATAAACCACAGAAATTTAAGCTCCAAAAGAGATATTAAAAATATTTTTGTTGTTACATTTTTGCTTGCTCTGTACTGTGCAAAACTAGTTTTATTATGTGCACTTTTTCCCTCCAATAAAGTAGAGGTGGATGCCCATCTGTTTGTAGCTAAAAAGCTACTCAGAGCAGGAGTCAACATTTACAGCCCCCAAAGCAGCTTTGTTTCTTTTGTTTGTTGTTCTTAATTCATTTGCCAGAAAGTAGCATATTCTACCTAGAAATGTACACACTGTTAATCCTAAAACTAAAATGTAGATAAGGCATTTGAGGTTATAAACATTTAGTGTTGTATTTAGTTTACAAAACTAGAAGGTATCAATTCCCTGGGCTTAACAATACATCAAGCAGCTGCCAGACATTTAGGTTTTTTCTTCTTAATTTCTTTACAGAGATAGAACTTTGATATAGATCACTTCTCATGTAAAAGCAGTGTCACCAAAGCAGTTCTGCAACAAGCTGTACCAAGAGCTGTATCACTTCATATCTTCCTAAGCAACCTGGAAAAGAAACAGCAAGGTGCTCTTGACTAAGCTCCTTAAGTTATTTAGGATAGCAAGGATGATGGCTGATTATGAACTACTGATGGATCTTTAATTCCAAGTAACCAGGCAATAAAATTGGTAACTAAAACTCAATGGAGATATAACTGAGGTGATGCCAGCGAGAGAGGGAAAATTTGCTAAATTCATACGTAAAATACTGGACTTTGCATTGACTGCTGACTCAGGACTGAGGTATTAAGGTCATAGAACTGTCTCTCATAACAACATCCATTCATTGATGTGTTCTGTTCAAAAACATAAACCAGATGCCACACACTAAGAAAGGATTACAGAGCAGTAGAGAAAATACCATCATCCTGTTTCACAAATCTTGCATCTCTGTTCCCACCTCAAAAGGGGCAAAACAGCAGAACTGAAAAGATTCAAAGAGCAACACTATGATCAAATGTACCAAACAGTTTCCATTTAAAAGTAACTAAAGAAGCTGGAATTCTGCATTCTGGAAAAGACAGCTGGAGGTCTATAAAATCCTGAGTGATGAGGACATCCTAATACAACAGCTGGGAGGAAAGATTTGATGCAACTAGTAAGAGCAAAGCTCAAAAGAAAAGAGCACCTCTGCACATCAGGCAGATGAACCACGGAATTCCTTGCCAGAGTGATTCAAAGAGTAGGAAAAAGCCCTTGGTAGAAGGGGAAAACAAACAAACAAAAAAAACACAAAACAAAAACCAAGCACCACCAAATAAAAAAGCCACAACACAAAAATAATAAACAAAACAAAACAACCAACAAAACAAAACCATAGGAGGTCAAACAGAAAACAAACTGCATCATGCACAAGAAATTATTGAATTGAAAATGCCCAGAGTATGGGAGAGTAGCAAAAGGGAGTATTCCAGGTGTTTGACCTGGCCCAGGAGGGGTTTACTTAAAGCTTTTCTAACTATTAAGAGGGATAAGTGCACATGTGTGTATCCGTACATACTATATACGGGGCGGGGCTGGGAATGTATATAAATGCATACTCTGTCTCTATATAGCATGTAATGCAGTTTTAGCTAAAGTGTAACATATATGCCCAAATCAAACTGTCTGTTTAGGATTGACCAGTTCTCCTAATACATGTTAATACATTGCTGAATCTTACACCTCAGGTTTTTCTTCTCTTCTGAGAGCTACAAAGACACACAATGTCCATGTGTCATAACAAAATGTACCTGTGTTTGTAGGCTTTAAACTTAATCTGAAGCAAAAAATATTTCAGTCAGCAATCAACACTTTCAAACTGTATTGGCTGTCTACCAAGATATAGATAAAAGGCAGTGAGATAACCACTTTCATCTACATACTACCTGATTACAAAAGTTCTCATTATTAAGTAAATATTGAATGATTCAATACTTCACATGTCATTTTTGTAAAAGAATCCTCATCTTTCATTTCTTCAAGAAATAAAGGAATAAAACCAGAATTTTTTGAAACGTACAAATAAAAACTATGAACAAGTTGAGCACTTTCCATACGATACATATGCTCTACCAAGAGAGGGCAGCAAAATACACTGCAAATATTTCTTATATAAAATTTCCATGCAGTAAAATATGAGAGATTAAATATATAATCATTCAGAATAAGTTTATTCTAATTATATATTGCTGAAGCATCCCTTTGTCAACAAGGCAAAGAAAAACAAACAAATTAACCTCCCCCAAACCACAACCCTCTACATTTTTATGGTCATTTAAACAATTATAATAAACGTTTCAAATAGAAAACCGAAAGTGGCACAGGGCAAAAGATCAGTATGCCAGTAATGCAATCAAGTTGCTTTAATGCAGTTTAATGAGCAAGGATGAATTTCATAAACCAGGAAAGAACTACAGCTTAACAAATGTTACAGTTGTAGCTTAAAAAGATTAAGAGCTCCTCTTTTTCTTTATTAAAAAAAAAAAAAAAATCTGTTTGTACTAAATCCCCCCTGGTTCTGTTTAGTTAGTATTAAATAATATAATTTTATTTTAAAATTTTGTTAGAGATAAAAATTATATTATGCAAAAGCATTAGTAGATTAAGAAGAGTCATTATACGTCAATTAAAGCATTTCTGAAACATCAAGACTTTGGTAGTTCTAAAGCATGGAAACATTCAAGAACATTGTGAAAGCAATACATGAAAATCCTTCAGCCTTAGAAAGCACAGTATCTTGCTACTAGGATAACTTTTGAAAAAGCTAAAGTGTAGCAAAAATGCCCCAGAAAGCCATCTTATAGCAAAATGCTCATTATGCTAAGGCAAAGTGATTCTAATTATTTTAAAAGTGTGAATTACTAGAATCTAGGAGCTAATTTACATTGATAGCTGAGACTGCTATAACACTGTACAGCATGTCAGTCATATATGCAAGGTACTGTTACACATGGGTTTAGATTCAAAGAGTCAATTTCAGAATTTCAGAATAGTCGGTAGCTTTATCACATATCCTATTCATGAATCTTCCTTTTTGGATTTTAATTAGTTTCATGCCAATAGCATCTTAGGAAACTTCACTTTGGGGTGCTCTGAGGCAGGGTTCTTGATGG